GCGTTCAGCAGCCTACAAAATGTTACCTGCTAAGGCCTCTGCCAAGTTTCCCATTTCTGAAATTCAATAAAGGGATAGGCACCACAGACAGGGTTTAGCGCGTGTGCCTGCAAACAGCTACCTAACATTTAGAAGGCATCTGAAGGCAGCCCTCTTCAGGGAAGTTTTTAATATGTGACATTTTAATGTATTTTTCATCTTTGTTGGAAGCCGCCCAGAGTGGCTGGGGAAACCCAGCCTGATGGGCGGGGTACAAATAATATATTGTTGTTGTTGTTGTTGTTGTTGTTGGGGTAACATGGGGATTAGCAGCAAATGAAAGTTTGGGTTCTCTTTTGTATGGGGCTTCCGTCTTGTTCCACCTGGTGGCAGGTGGGAGTCCTGTCGCGACAGTCTTCAATCAAGACCAAGCCGACTGGCTGCTGTTTTGCTCTGGCATTCCTGGCTGGGGTCCTTGCTTTTTGTCCAAGGGAGCCCTCAGATTTCTCCTTTAACAGAATAAAGATTGTAGAATCATTTGAAAGGACCCTTAGAGTCATCTGGCAAACCCCCAGCAATTTCATTTCCTTCTGACCTTTGATGATTTCAATTCCACCTCTGTGGAACACCCACACGGACCATGCACGTGTTTTTGTGTGTATTTTCACACACATTAATATATACATATGTGCAATTTGGGATCTCTCTCTATGCAGGTGGTGATGATGGCAGAATCATAGAATTGTAGAGTTGGAGAGGACCCCCAGGGCCACCCAGCCCAGGCCCCTGCAATGCAGGAATCATAGCCAGGATCCTGGAGGAGACTGCAGCCCCTAAAAGAAATATTCTGCCGAAACACAAGTGGGAGTCTTTAAGCCGCCCCCAGGAGACTCTGGGCTGCTGTTGCTTTGATACAGCCTGAGGAGAAGGCTGTTGACGGCTCCTAGTGTTGCAGGAATTTATGTAAAGGTTGGGGGGGTGCCCCTCCAGCAGATATCCTGCACATGCAGCCCACTACCAAAATCAGCACAATCACTTTGTGACTTTTGTGATTTGTCCCCACAAAACACTTGGTCACAGTTTCTTCCTATCTGTTCAAAGGGCCTTTGCTGCACGATACCAAATGTAAGAATTCACTGATAAATGTACCTATGTACTGGCTCCCTAGGAAAACTTCAGAAATTCATCTAGACCTGTGAGCTCAGCTGCCCAGCAGCCCCTCTGCCTGAGCGATAATCCCTGGCCTCCTGATACCTGAGTGCCAGACAGGTAGCCATTCCAGAAATACCAAACCCAGATGAAGAAAAAAGGGTGTGATTAATTGGCTGGGGAAAAGGGAAATGTAAATATATCTTTTGCTTCACTTGATGGGTGTTTGGTGGAGGACAAGGGGAACCATGGGGCAGGGTCCAGGATGCTCAGATTACTGCCACAAGACACCCCCTTTCATGATGTAACCATGATGTATGAGTGATGTATTAGTGAGCACAATTAGTGAGCACAATTCAAAGTGTTGGTGCTGACCTTTAAAGCCCTAAACGGCCTCAGTCCAGTATATCTGAAAGAGCATCTCTACCCCCATCGTTCAGCCCAGAGACTGAGGTCCAGCGCTGAGGGCCTTCTGGCGGTTCCCTCACCGTGAGAAGTAAATTTACAGGAGACCAGGCAGACGGCCTTTTCCGTAGTGGCGCCTGCCCTGTGAAACACCCTCCCACCAGATGTCAAAGAGAACAAGAACTACCAGACTTTTAGAAGACATCTGAAGGCAGCCCTGTTTAGGGATGCTTTTAATGTTTAATAGGTTATTGTATTTTAGTGTTTTGTTGGAAGCCGCCCAGAGTGGCCGGGGAGAGCGAGGTATAACTATTATTTATATTACCATATTTTTTTGCACCATAACACTCAGTTTTTTCCTCCTAAAAAGTAAGGGAATGCCTACGAGTGGCATGCCTACGGATTTTCCTCCTCTAAAAACTACGTGCGTGTTATGGTCGGGTGCGTGTTATAGAGCGAAAAATACGGTATATATTATATTATA